CCTTCTCATATGACTATGTAGTAATTTAGGTTGCTTTTTCACTTTGATCGCAATATGGTTCTCATAGTTCCTTTCTGATAGTCTTATATTCTAGCTCTTTTGCATCTAATCTTATTGTCCTTTGTCCTCTGTACTTCCTCCACTCCCTCCTGCTTCTCATTTTTGCTTCCTGGCACTGTCTATTAAACCATGGGTTATTATATTCCCTCCTACTTTTTTCCTTTACTGTTGGTATAAAACTCTCTTCGGCCTCCTTGCATTTCCACTTGACTAGGTCCATCATATCTTGCACTGTTTTTCTCTTAGTTCTTCTTCCCACTGCACTTCTCCCAGATATTCTCTTATCCTCCTGTAATCCCCTTTCCTATAGTCTACTCTCCTTTCCCAGACCTCTTGCCCCGTGGTCACAATTTTAAGCTCGATCATGTAGTCAAAGACTAGGACACAATGGTCACTGGCTCCTAGTGGTATTTCATGTTCCATATTCGTAATGTCTTCCTCATTCTGGGTGAAAATCAGGTCTAATAGGCTCGGTGTATCCCTTCCTCTTTCCCTTGTGTCTTCCTTCACATGTTGTGTTAGGAAATTCCTGTCTATAACTTCCACTAATTTTGCTCCCCACGTTTCTTCCCCACCATGGGGATTTCTTGATTCCCAATCGATCTCTCCGTGATTGAGGTCCCCCATGACCAACAGTTTCGCTCTCATTCTGTGAGCTGTTGTTGCTGCCCTCTGCAGTTCATCTATACATGTCTTGTTGTTATCATCATATTCCTGTCTGGGCCTTCTACTGTTTGGTGGGGGATTGTAGATTATCAAGATCACAATCCTCTTCCCATCACCTGTCAGAATCCCAAGTATGGAGCTTGTGTTTCCATTAGTCCCCCGATTCTCTAGTTCCTCAAATTTCCATTTCAGCTTTATGAGGAGTGCCACTCCCCCTCCCTGTCTCTGTGTCCATTCTTTCCTTATCACTTGGTATCCATCTGGGAAGATTGCATCTGCGATCATATAATTTATTTTAGTTTCCACTATTGCAATTATGTCTGGATCTGCTTCACTAACCCTTTCTTTTATTTCCTCTGCTTTATTGGATACCCCATCATTACCTAAGTGTAATTACCTAAGTGTAGTTGCAGGATGAGAGCTACGTTCATGGTATCCCACCTTCCCAGCAATGTTTGTCATGTAATGCTTTGAAATTACTGACAGTTTTGGCCTCCACCACCTTCTCACCTAACTTGTTCCAACCGTCTACCACTCTGTTTGCAAAAGTGAATTTTCTTATATTTTTTCTGCATCTGTGTTTAGCTAGTTTAAATCTATGACCTCTTGTTCTTAAAGTTCCAGGTCTCAGGAAATCTTCCCTATCGATTTTATCAATTCCTGTTACTATTTTGTATGTAGTGATCATATCACCTCTTTTTCTTCTGTCTTCTAGTTTTGGCATATTTAACGCCTCTAAGCTCTCCTCGTAGCTCTTGCCCTTCAGTTCTGGGAACCACTTAGTAGCATGTCTTTGCACCTTTTCCAGTTTGTTGATGTGCTTCATAAGATATGGGCACCACACAACCGCTGCATATTCTAGCTTTGGCCTAACAAAAGCCGTGAACAATTTCTTTAGTATATCGCCATCCATGTATTTAAAAGCAGTTCTGAAGTTAGAAAGCGTGGCATAGGCTCCTCGCACAATATTCTTTATGTGGTCCTCAGGTGATAGTTTTCTATCTAGAACCACCCCTAGATCTCTTTCTTTATCAGAATTCTTTAAAGATTTCTCACATAATATATAAGTTGTGTGAGGTCTATGTTCTCCTATTCCACATTCCATAACATGGCATTTATCAACATTAAATTCCATTTGCCAAGTGGTGCTCCATATACTTATTTTGTCCAGGTCATCTTGAAGGGCATGACAATCATCTAAGTTTCTTATCCTTCCTATTATCTTAGCATCATCAGCAAACATGTTCATATAATTCTGTATACCAACTGGTAGATCATTTATGTAGACAATAAACATCACTGGTGCAAGAACTGAACCCTGTGGTACTCCACTTGTGACATTTCTCCATTCCGATACATTGCCTCTGATCACTGCCCTCATGTTTCTATCAGTCAGAAAATTTTTCATCCATGTGTGTGTGTGTGTGTGTGTGTGTGTGTGTGTGTGTGTGTGTGTGTGTGTGTGTGTGTGTGTGTGTGTGTGTGTGTGTGTGTGTGTACTCACCTAGTTGTACTCACCTAGTTGTGCTTGCGGGGGTTGTGCTCTGGGTCTTTGGTCCCGCCTCTCAACCGTCAATCAACAGGTGTACAGGTTCCAGAGCCTATTGGGCTCTATCATATCTACACTTGAAACTGTGTATGGAGTCAGCCTCCACCACATTGCTTCCTAATGCATTCCATTTGTCAACCACTCTGACACTAAAAAAGTTCTTTCTAATATATCTGTGGCTCATTTGGGCACTCAGTTTCCACCTGTGTCCCCTAGTGCGTGTGCCCCTTGTGTTAAATAGCCTGTCTTTATCAACCCTGTCGATTCCCTTGAGAATCTTGAATGTGGTGATCATGTCCCCCCTAACTCTTCTGTCTTCCAACGAAGTGAGGTTCAATTCCCGTAGTCTCTCCTCGTAGCTCATACCTCTCAGCTCGGGTACTAGTCTGGTGGCAAACCTTTGAACCTTTTCCAGTTTAGTCTTATGCTTGACTAGATATGGACTCCATGCTGGAGCCGCATACTTCAGGATGGGTCTGACATATGTGGTATATAATGTTCTGAAAGATTCCTTACACAAGTTTCTAAAGGCCTAAAGGCTCTCTGGGAGATCATTTACGTATATCAGAAACAGAATAGGTCCAAGTACAGAGCCCTGTGGGACTCCACTGGTGACTTCACGCCAGTCTGAGGTCTCACCCCTCACTGTGACTCTCTGCTTCCTATTGCTTAGGTACTCCTTTATCCACTGGAGCGCCCTACCAGTTACTCCTGCCTGTTTCTCCAGCTTATGCATCAACCTTTTATGGGGTACTGTGTCAAAGGCTTTCCGACAGTCCAAAAAAATGCAGTCCGCCCATCCTTCTCTTTCTTGCTTAATCTTTGTCACAATCTTAATCTTAATCTTTGTGTGTGTGTGTACTTACCAAATTTTACTTACCTAATTGTGCTTGCGAGGGTTGAGCTTTGGCTCTTTGGTCCCGCCTCTCAACCGTCAATCAACAGGTGTACAGGTTCCTGAGCCTATTGGGCTCTATCATATCTACACTTGAAGCTGTGTATGGAGTCAGCCTCCACCACATCACTTCTTAATGCATTCCATTTGTCTACTACTCTGACACTGAAAAAATTCTTTCTAACTTCTCTATGGCTCATTTGGGCACTCAATTTTCATTTATGTCCCCTAGTGTGTGTGCCCCATGTGTTAAAAAGTCTGTCTTTATCTACTCTATCAATTCCTCTGAGAATCTTGTATGTGGTGATCATGTCCCCTCTAACTCTTCTGTCTCCCAGTGACGTGAGGTTTAATTCCCGTAGTCTTTCCTCGTAGCTCATACCCCTCAGTTCTGGTACTAGTCTGGTGGCAAACCTTTGAACCTTTTCCAGTTTGGTCTTATGTTTGACTAGATATGGACTCCATGCTGGAGCCGCATACTCCAGGATTGGTCTGACATATGTGGTATATAATGTTCTGAAAGATTCCTTACACAAGTTTCTAAAGGCCGTTCTTATGTTAGCCAACCTGGCATATGCCGCTGATGTTATCCTCCTGATATGAGCTTCAGGGGACAGATCTGGCGTGATGTTAACCCCCAGGTCTTTCTCTCTCTCTGACTCTTGCAGGATTTCATCTCCCAAATGATACCTTGTATCTGGTCTCCTGCTCCCTACACCTATCTTCATTACATTACATTTGCTTGGGTTAACCTCTAACAACCATTTGTTCAACTATTCCTGCAGCTTGTCCAGGTCTTCTTGAAGCCTCAAGTTGTCCTCCTCTGTCTTAATCCTTCTCATAATTTTGGCGTCGTCAGCAAACATTGAGAGGAATGAGTCTATCCCCTCTGGGAGATCATTTACGTATATCAGAAACAGGATAGGTCCGAATACAGAGCCCTGTGGGACTCCACTGGTGACTTCACGCCAGTCTGAGGTCTCACCCCTCACTGTAACTCTCTAGCTGCTTCCTATTGCTTAGGTACTCCCTTATCCACTGGAGCGCCTACCAGTTACTCCTGCCTGTTTCTCCAGCTTATGCATCAGCCTTTTATGGGGTACTGTGTCAAAGGCTTTCCGACAGTCCAAAAAAAATGCAGTCCGCCCATCCTTCTCTTTCTTGCTTAATCTTTGTCACCTGATCGTAGAATTCTATTAAGCCTGTAAGGCAAGATTTACCCTCCCTGAACCCATGCTGATGGGTTGTCACGAAGTCCCTTCTCTCCAGATGTGTTACTAGTTTTTTTCTCACGATCTTCTCCATCACCTTGCATGGTATACAAGTTAAGGACACTGGCCTGTAGTTCAGTGCCTCTTGTCTGTCGCCCTTTTTGTATATTGGGACTACATTAGCCGTCTTCCATATTTCTGGTAGGTCTCCCGTTTCCAGTGACCTACTATACACTATGGAGAGTGGCAAACAAAGTGCTCCTGCACACTCTCTCAATACCCCATGGTGAGATTCCGTCCGGTCCAACAGCCTTTCTCACGTCCAGCTCTAATAGGTGCTTCTTGACCTCATCTTTTGTAATTTCGAATCCTTCGAAATGTGTGTGTGTGTGTGTGTGTGTATGCCTAAGAGTAATCACAGGATAAGAGCTATATACGCGGTTTGGTATAACACTCTGAAAATACTAAACCTCGTGTGTGTGTGGGGGGGAGGAGGAGGGGTTAGATGACAGGGTGCAAGTGTTGTGCGGTGAGAGATGGGATTACGAATGGGGAAAAAGAGGGCGGGACGTGAGGTTCGAGACAGTACAACATCCCTATATAAACTACAATTCTCCACGTAGCTAGTCAGTACACGTGGAACCTCCATCGTGGTCACACCTCCACATCTCTGTTCTTCAGCCCCTGCCTTAGTTCGTGGCGCCTGGGACGCTCCTGACACCGTCAACATGAAGCTGCTACTTTTGTTCGCTTTCTGCGTCGTCAACGTCGCTCTTGTTCACGCATTTGACTCAACCGACGACAACCAACGGAAATCCGCAAAGAACGTACCATCAGATCGAGGTATTAAGTCTACCGGCGAGAGGAGCTCAGGCCAGATACGTAAATCCGAGAGTGGTCATGGCGTCAATGTTCGCAACAGAGTTCCTAAAAAGTTGCACGACAAAACCCAGAGGATGTCCAACTCCAACAAGCTCAAGAAGGCCTCGCGAGACGGTAAGATCGTCAAGCACAAGAAGAAGGCCTCGCGAGACGGTAAGATCGTCAAGCACAAGAAGGCCTCGCGAGACGGAAAGATCGTCAAGCACAAAAAGAAGGCCTCGCAAGACAGAAAGTTCGTTAAGAAGATGGATCACCAATCTAAGAAGGTAAACTTAAACAATATTGTATGTGTTCTAAATATATTATTTAAAACCTATCATTATTTTGCAGTCAATTTGTCACCAGCCGCCCTCATCACCACCACCAATCACCACCACCCTCATCATCATCAACCACCTTCAATAGCAACAGGTGGACCCATTCTGCGATAAACACCATGAATACATTCGAAATAACAAACACAATCACTGAGAAGGGTGTCGACGAAATACATGCAGACTTTGTTATTCAAGCCCCTTGGAAATCTCCGCCAGCAGACTTTAAGATTATGATTCTCGAAGGAAAAAAGAACCAGACAAATCCTCATCTGCTACGTAATATTGCACAGATGCATATAGAAGCAAACTTGGCATCTGACAGCTTCACTTACTTCACAGATGGATCAGTAGACCAGCAGGGACAAGAAACCGGAGCTGCAGTTAAAGCAGGAAAATCTGTAAATAGTTGGAGACACAAATCGATGTTCGACTTTACAAACAGAGATGCTAGCCGTTCAAAAGGCTTTAGAACATGCTCTTGCTGAACACTGATAGGTTATCATACATACAGATTCGAGAACTGTCATTGAAACCTTGCAACAAGAACACATATGTGATAACATCCATCTGATCACAAATGACATATCATTAATGCACACACTCAAACGTCAAGGCCGTCCAGTACTTATCAACTGGGTGCCAAGTCATGTAGGAATAATAGGAAATGACATTGCAGGCGAAGCTGCAAAACTTGCAACTAAGAGAAGAAATGTATACATTTACATACCACAGAGTCTATCACAGATTAAGAAAGTAATTAGAAACAGAGTAATGCAAAAGATGTACAGTGACCACAACACAGCAGTTGCAACATCAGGATCTGCGGGTCGATACAAGAATTCAACCAACTACGAATCACTTAGTTTGATGAAAGGGAACAGTAGAACAACAGAAGTACACTTACATTGCATCAGGCTTGGATACTCATGTGCATCGGAAATAGGCTTACAGGTTCCGGAAGATGAGAGAAAATGTCAGCACTGTGGAGAAATGCCCGACAGACCACTGGAACATTATCTAACACAGCGCACAGTTACAAACCCATTAAGATTTCAACTTAGATTCAACAGAGCAGAAGTTGTTAAACACGTGGGACAAAATCTTCACCAAATCGAAGGGCACAAGCGTGCCCTTCGGGCTGCTTGTGTGGCCATGTCTGTTTTTGTTCCCATTATCATGAATTGCCGCTGTTAATTTATTTTTGTTTGTGTTATATTTTTATGTTTCCTTTCTTCTTATTGTAATTATGTATTTGTGCCTCTCCGTGTGTGGTTTCCGGGGCCGGTAGGCTTGTTTGGTATTGTGTTTCGATGGTTGGGTTGTTGGGTGCGGGTTTGGTTACTATGTATTTTCCTGTTGTTATTTTTGTACTGTCTTGCATTATGTTTGTGCTTTTTGTTGGGTTTTTGTTGTCGGTCCTTCAGGGCGATACTTTATGTCTTTGTAATTGTGTACTTTTGTGCTTTTGTGATTTTGTAACTTGTGATTTGTGTTCTGTTTGTTTTGTTCTCGGTTTATTGTATTAATATGCAAGCTTGCGTGTCAAGCTAACATTACCCTCCTGTCTTGTACCGTTATTTCTGTACTGTATTGCATTGTGTTTATTGTTGTCGGCCCTTCAGGCCGGTATCTAGTGTCTTTGTAATTTTGTGATTTTGTCATTTGTGTTCTATTTGTTTTGTTCTCGTTTTATTGTATTTATACGCATGCTTGCATATAAAAAAACTCACTCTCCACTGTTTCTTTCCCTGGCAGTCGTGCGCAGGCGTCTGTGTCGAGGACGCCCAGGAGTGCACTCATGGCACAATAGTTAAGAGCAAGTGCCATGATGGACTCAAGTGTTGTGTCTCTGGTGAGTACTGTTACACACACACACACACACACACACACACACACACACACACACACACACACACACACACACACACACACACACACACACACACACACACACACACACCACCACCACCACCACCACCACCACCACCACCACCACCCCCCTCTCCCACAGGGGGGGGGGGCCACACCACCACCCTCCTCTGCATAGAAACCCTTCCTTCCCCTCACCCTACCTGCCCCCACCCAACCCTCCCTCCCACCCCACCCCATTCTGACCCTGACACCCCTTCCCCATTCCCATCATGTCCCCCCTCCCACCTTTTTCCCCCTGTCCCCCCTCCCCCTTCATCCCATACCCTCCCTATCCCTCCTCCCCCCTCACTGCGTATCCTCCATGTCCCCCTTACCTCCTTAACCCACACCCTACCTGTCCCCCCTTCCCTTCAACCCCCACCCCCCACCCCAAAATCCTCTGAGACCCTGCAAACCACCTCACAGATCCTCTCGCCCACGGAACAGCTTCCCACACCAGCAGAATGCTTGCCAAGAAAGGGACATGAAAATGAACAGAAGAAAGTGAGCTTCAAGGCGATGTACACTAACATAGATGGGATTTCAAATAAAACAAGTGAACTTGGAGAATGGGCACTAGAAGAAAACCCAGACATAATAGCACTCACAGAAACAAAGTTAACGAAAATCATAACAAACGCAGTGTTTCCACAGGGCTACTATGTAGTGAGGAAAGAGAGAGAAGGGAGAGGAGGAGGTGGTGTAGCTCTGCTACTAAGAGAAGGTTGGAGTTTCAAAGAGATGGTAATTCAGAACTGTGAAGGTTTCAGTGACTACATTTCAGGCACCATAGCAACTGGAGGACAGAAAATTATAATAGTAGTCATATATAACCCCCCCCCCCCCACCAAATGACAGAAGACCCAGACAGGAATATGATAGAAACAACTTGGCCACCATCAATATAATAGAGAGAGCAGCTTCTGTGGCTAGCAGGAACGGATCCAGACTTCTAATCATGGGAGACTTCAACCATGGGAAGATAGATTGGGGGAACAGAGACCCACATGGAGGCCCAGACACATGGAGAGCTAAGCTGCTGGATGTGGCAACAAGAAACTTTCTAAGTCAACACGTCAAGGGACCGACAAGAATGAGAGGAGGGGATGAACCAGCCTTGCTTGATCTGATATTTACCCTAAATGAGTCGGATATAAGGGAAGTTAAGTTGGAAGCCCCCTTGGGAATGAGTGATCACAGTGTATTGAGCTTTGAGTACCTGGTTGAGCTGGGAATTATCACCCCCAATAAAGAACTGGGAACCAAAGGGCTGGCGTACCGAAAGGGAAACTATGAGGAAATGAATAAATTCCTATGGGATATACATTGGGACACAGAACTCGGAACCAAGTCCGTACAAGACATGATGGACTATGTCACCCAAAAATGTCAGGAGGCTGTAAGCAGGTTTGTCCCAGCCCGACAGGAAAAAACAGAGAAGCAAAGGAAGAATCCGTGGTTTAATAAGGAATGTATGAAAGCAAAGGAGCAAAACAAAAGGGCATGGAGGAACTTCCGTAATAACAGAACACCAGAAAGTAGAGAGATACCAGAGAACCAGGAACGAGTATGTCAGTGTGAGAAGAGCAGCTGAGAAAAGGTATGAAAATGAAATAGCTAATAAAGCCAAGACCGAACCCAAGCTACTACACAGTCACATCAGGAGGAAGACAACAGTGAAGGAACAGGTGATGAAACTTAGGGTGCGCGAGGACAGGTACACAGAGAATGACAAAGAGATGTGTGAAGAACTCAACAAAAGGTTCCAGGAGGTCTTTACAATAGAACAGGGAGATGTCGCGGCGCTAGAAGAGGTGGCAGCAAACCAGGTGACCTTGGATAGGTTCGAAATTACAAGAGATGAGGTCAAGAAGCACCTATTGGAGCTGGATGTGAGAAAAGCTGTTGGGCCGGATGGAATCTCGCCATGGGTATTGAAAGAGTGTGCAGGAGCACTTTGCCTACCACTCTCCATAGTGTATAGTAGGTCACTGGAAACGGGGGACCTACCAGAAATATGGAAGACTGCTAATGTAGTACCAATATACAAAAAGGGTGACAGACAAGAGGCACTGAACTACAGGCCAGTGTCCTTAACTTGTATACCATGCAAGGTGATGGAGAAGATTGTGAGAAAAAACCTAGTAACACATCTGGAGAGAAGAGACTTCGTGACAACCCATCAACATGGGTTCAGGGAGGGTAAATCTTGCCTTACAGGATTGATAGAATTCTACGATCAGGTGACAAAGATTAAACAAGAAAGAGAAGGGTGGGCGGACTGCATTTTTTTGAACTGTCGGAAAGCCTTTGACACAGTACCCCATAAAAGGTTGATGCATAAGCTAGAGAAACAGGCAGGAGTAACTGGTAGGGCGCTCCAGTGGATAAGGGAGTACCTAAACAATAGGAAGCAGAGAGTTACAGTGAGGGGTGAGACCTCAGACTGGCGTGAAGTCACCAGTGGAGTCCCACAGGGCTCTGTACTTGGACCTATCCTGTTTCTGATATACGTAAATGATCTCCCAGAGGGTATAGACTCATTCCTCTCAATGTTTGCTGACGACGCCAAAATTATGCGAAGGATTAAGACAGAGGACAGCTTGAGGCTTCAAGAAGACCTGAACAAGCTGCAGGAATGGTCGAACAAATGGCTGTTAGAGTTTAATCCAAGCAAATGTAATGTAATGAAGATAGGTGTAGGAAGCAGGAGACCAGATACAAGGTATCACTTGGGAGATGAAATACTTCAAGAGTCCGAGAGAGAGAAAGACCTGGGGGTTGATATCACGCCAGACCTGTCCCCTGATGCTCATATCAAGAGGATAACAGCAGCAGCATATGCCAGGTTGGCTAACATAAGAACGGCCTTTAGAAACTTGTGTAAGGAATCTTTCAGAACATTATATACCACATATGTCAGACCAATCCTGGAGTATGCGGCACCAGCATGGAGTCCATATCTAGTCAAGCATAAAACTAAAATGGAAAAGGTTCAAAGGTTTGCCACCAGACTAGTACCCGAGCTGAGAGGTATGAGCTACGAGGAGAGACTACGGGAATTAAACCTCACTTCGTTGGAAGACAGAAGAGTTAGGGGGGACATGATCACCACATTCAAGATCCTCAAGGGAATTGACAGGGTTGATAAAGACAGGCTGTTTAACACAAGGGGCACACGCACTAGGGGACACAGGTGGAAACTGAGTGCCCAAATGAGCCACAGAGATATTAGAAAGAACTTTTTTAGTGTCAGAGTGGTTGACAAATGGAATGCATTAGGAAGTGATGTGGCGGAGGCTGACTCCATACACAACTTCAAGTGTAGATATGATAGAGCCCCATAGGCTCAGGAACCTGTACACCTGTTGATTGACGGTTGAGAGGCGGGACCAAAGAGCCAGAGCTCAACCCCCGCAAGCACAACTAGGTGAGTACACACACTATTTAACACAAGGGGCACACGCATTAGGGGACACAGGTGGAAATTGAGTGCCCAAATGAGCCATAGAGACGTTAGAAAGAATTTTTTCAGAGTAGTAGACAAATGGAATGCATTAGGAAGTGATGTGGTGGAGGCTGACTCCATACACAGCTTCAAGTGTAGATTTGATAGAGCCCAGTAGGCTCAGGAATCTGTACACCAGTTGATTGGCAGTTGAGAGGCAGGACCAAAGAGCCAAAGCTCAACCCCCGCAAGCACAACTAGGTGAGTATACACACACACACACACACACACACACACACACACACACACACACACACACACACACACACCTTCTATATATTTGATAAATTTATTTATTTATTTATTTATTTATTTATTTATTTATTTATTTATTTATTTATTTATTTATATACAAGAAGGTACATTGGGATTGTGAGGATACATAGCATAGTAATTACATTCTTGTATAGCCACTAGTTTCGGGCAAATAAGTTAAATATAGTTAAAAAAATAAGCAAATACAATCTGATATAAACAAAACTAAGATATTAACCGATGTTAATTTCATGAAAAAAACATGCATAAGATCAGTTAGAAAGAATCAATTAACACGAAGTAAAATCACTTACAGTTCGTCAAGAGATTTGTCTATTATTTATGATCTTAATACTCGATGTTTAATTTACGACAAAACTCAAATGACCTTTCTAAATCTACGGGGGTTTGATGACCTTTCCTATGTGTTGCTACACTTCCCACATACCCACCTGTCACATACCATAACCAGTGGCATAGAATTTTGTCATTGGTTACACACCTTCCTAACCTGCTGACTTAACCATTCGTGGAACCACGTCCCGGTAACGCTCACTGTACTTCCTACACACCCACCTACTGCACAAGCTGCCACCATCCCTCTCACGAACCTAACCCATCTGTTATTACCACCTGTTTCGTCTCTTTGTTACTGCCATATCGCATCTATTTGTTATTCCCACCGTTGGTACACAGCACCTGTTGTCCTGCTGCTACCCCAGCCACACACCTGTGTAGCTCCCACCACAACACTTACCTAGCACCCACACCACCACACCTTCATCCACTACAACCCCTCATCACCACTTCACTACACCATCACTGCACATCACCACTTCACTACACCATCACTGCACAACAACACTATTCATACATCACTCCTCCACAACACTCTGCTCATCCTAAAATGATAGTGCTTATAGAAACTCAACTATTAGGTCGAATGTACACAAATGGACTGTTGCAGCCAACAATGGTCACGTTTTGTACAATTTATTTTCTATATGACGGGGGAAATTCGAACTTAAGCATTCCTAGGCCTAGTATAGCACTTAAACTATATTAGTCCTACAATAGTGCATATTAGGCCTAGGATTGCTTGTTTACGCTGTGGACTGGTCAACTTCTTTAGCTACTTCTCCATTTTTTAGTATATTTGGGTTAATACAAATACAAAACGTGAACTTTTTGGAGTCAACAGTCCAATTTCGTCGTACCACTTTTGGTAGATCACTGCACATGAGAGGCTAGTGTAAAATAAATTTTAAATACGTATACTTGTACCTGTATACAACAATTTTTTTTAATTTAATTGTTTCCTGTTTGTTTTGTTACGCAGATGAGCCAAGGGTGAAGACAGAGGAAAAGAGAAGTAAGTATGTGATGATCTCTATGTGAATCCTTACATAATTGTTTTATATAAATGTTTTGCAGGGTGAGAGATTTAGCTTCTCGGGATCCCACTGTTTATAGCTCTTGAGTAGCTAGTTTTACTCTACAGCCTGTGAAATTCTTTAAAGTTGAACACCTTTAATTTCCCCTTCTCTTACGCTTATCACTGCTAACACACTGAAAAAATACTCACGTCTGACTGAGCAGAGTAAAGTACTGTTTCGATTCTTATGAATGAAGAGGAAGTGTGGGAAATGTGGGAGGGAGTTGAGTGGTTGATGAGGGAAATGGAAGGAATGTGAGTAGGGAGACTTGGAAGCTTTGAATAGTTTAGATCTGGGGGAATATGGGAGTGTATTGGAGGCTGATGGATGGTGGCTGCTAAGTGAGAAAGAAGGGAAAATGGTGTAGCTAAAGTGTTCATATATTGGTTGCCTCGTTGGTGGTCTGGAGAATGTTCTGTAGATGGAGCTGTAGTTCCACATTCCCTGACTTATTAGTGTGTTGAATGCACTTTTTTTTATTTCCCTGCTGGTTCTGTTGCACATTGGCATGTGCTAGTTACTACTCTGTCATTACTCTGTAGTTACTGCTCTCCTGTTGGAGATTGTGACAGATTCCTGCCTCTTCCCTCACTCTCTCTTCTCCCTCAAAAGTATCCCTTTTATCCCCTTCACTGATTAGATCTTGAATTATTTGTGTTTTCTCCTTTTGTATCTTCCACCTGGATTTATCTTCATTGATTACAAACTAAAACCCATTGTTATTTGGATAGCAGCACCCACCATTTTTTCTACTACCTCGTTATTTCTAACTACTCAGGCTTATATGTTGACAGTTTCAGGGTTCAAGCTTTCGGGATCAGGCTCCATGACTTGTAACCTTTCCTGACACTGCCGTTGCTATCGGGCTCCTTGGTTTAGGCTTTCCACAATTCGTCTTCCTACTTTGCTAGCTTTAGCTCAAAACTTAAATTCAGTTTCTTTAGAATGCCCTCAAAATTCTCAGATTCTACAGTTCCGTCTATCAAAACCTGTCGTTTCTACATTCTCACGTAGATTTTTTTCTCAGCGACTACCTGTGTGATTCTGAACTTGTAGTTATCTCATTTTGGTCATGTTGTAAGATTTATCATTTCCTCTTAACTGTTTCTTACAGCCATCTTACATATATTCTACCACTTTTTTCCATCTTTGGTCTGAAACTTTCCGCTGCTTGATCATTTGTACTGTCATGTCTATCCACTCCTCTTGTAACCAATTTTGTTCCCTCCACAATCTTACGTGTTCCTCTTGTCCCGCCTGGTCTTCCCCGATATACTGTGTCTCTCCAGTATTTTAATTAAACTAAATATTATGAGATATGCCAACATAGAATGGGAATACTTTCCTCGATCACCTTTATTCAATCAAACCATAAGTAGTCTTTATTTTCCTTCGTTCATTTAGTCTTCCTGTTCGTCTGTTTATTTCCAGAAGTGTGCCGTGCCAACAAAAAGTGTACCAAGAAGAACGGCTCCTGCCAGCCAAAGAAAATTTGTAGTGGAAACATCGTGAAGGGGAAACTGTGCACCGGCGGCTGTGTGTGTTGTGCGTCCGTGGGTGAGTTCATAATACTGCGGTATCCAGTACAAGTCCCTCGCATTCAGTATAACTTTTTGCAATCTATTAAATGTTTTAAATTCTTATTTAGTGCTTTACATATTTTTTCCCTTAAACTTCACTGTATGAGCTGTTACTTCATGATAACACTTATCAAAAGTTTCTGCAATTCTTTTGCATATAATATCTGCATAAACGAATCCTATTGCCTCCTAGATTTTGACTCTGCAGTCAATAATTGCGAGAAACAGAATCGTTCCAATTTTGCAGCCATGTTAGCCTTATTTGTGTAGTTCTTATTTTAAATAAAACTATATTGACTACATGTCACCCTTTAAACAATTTATTTGTATTTGGAATACAATTAAGATTCGTCTATAGCAATGATTCCCAACCCAAGGAGTCGCGAAACCTAAATTCTGAGAACTTATATATCCGATTCGTCGAGAATTAATAAGTGGTGAATATTCCCGACAGCACTCTATGACCTTTTTTATTCGGCTTTGCCATAAAGTAGCTGTTAATTTCTCTTCGATTCACAGATTCCTCGTGCAAGACCAAGAAGAGCTGCAAGGCAGTGAATGGAGCATGTGGGCCGTTGAGTCAATCTTGCAGTGGACAGTTGCATAAGGGCAAGCAGTACTGCAAGGGTAGTGGTTGTGGTTGTTGCAGCCCTACTGGTAAGATTATCAGCCCACCTTCTCATCCTTACCCACAACTGATGCTTTTATTTAGGCTGGTATGGTGTTTGTCCTCTAAGTTCGCGGAAACTTGTTTTTATTTAATTTTAAGTCTGGATTCTACATTTAAGGACAATTTTAATTTTATTAACTATAAGAAATCTTTAGGATTTGAGTTGAATAGTGTTACTAAAATTAGTTAATTCCAAAAATCATGGTAGGTTATATTAGGACTCCATGTTTTAAACATAGGCTGTTTCTTGCATAGTTCTGTAAAAAGAGTTCAAATTATCCATCCAAAGTGTTCACGTTATTTGCGATTCTTGAAGGTGCTATGATACGATAAATATCGTAAAATCTTAAGGTATTGAAGTAATACCTTAAAGGTGTGACTTGCGATAATTTAAGGTGTTATTTGTTATAACTAAAACATTCCTTACAGAATATTAAAAAAAAATCTTATTTTTTCAGATAACTTTTAAAACGTTTTCCTCGATACTTAACAGAGAAAATTAAGTATCATGAGATTTAGTATTCAAAATACGTTTCAAACACGTCACGTGGAATAATCTAATCGACACGATTTTGAAAAATTTTCATACATCATTTCATTGCCTTCGGTCGATAGTGTATGTTGAAAATTCCAAAAGAATGTTGCATTCACTGTAATTTTTAGGTGTTGTTTTCGTTGCAAGATTGTATGGTGCTCCTCTATACGTGAGCATTTTTTCAAGAGTTTAGATTCGTGGTGTATGTTCGTGTGTGTCGTCTACCGCTTGTATCTGCTCTCTAAGGCTTTGTCTATTGTCTATCGCTTGTGTGTATCGTCTGCAGCTTATCTCTATCGTCTGCATATTATGTCTGTTGTCTGCATCTTGTGTCTATTGTCTGCAGCTTGTGCCTGCCGTCTGCAACTTGTGTCTATCGTTGACCACGTGTATGTATCGAATTACGATCATCGATGGAACAATTACCCAATAGGCACAATATCCAAGAGTAGCATTAATTAAACGTTGACTCAACGTTATCGATGTTAATTCAACGTTGAATTAACGTTTCTCTTGGATGTTGTGTTCACTGGGTACAAACGTGTTAAATCCCTTGTGGCATACGTAATACAGCCGATGCCGATCGCTTCAACAAACACCCCCGCGAAGGGAGGAGACAAACACCTTGAGCAAATCTCGACTCTGCGGCGTCAAGACTTTCTTAATAAAGTGACAAGTGTTCAAAAGATGGTAGGGCGGTATGTCCTTCGCCGTTGCTTCAAGCTAATTCTCCTCTGGTGCTTCTTATGGGTTTCCTTTTATAGCATATTATCACAGGATTCCAGGCGTCCCTCCTAGCTGCCATCCCCAGAGCCTGGAAGCTCAACAAACGATACATTAGACGCCATACTTGATTGAGGAGCAGCGGCGTCTTGAGTACCTCCTGTTAGTCACGTTCAGTCGCTCCCTGAATGTTGCTGGGATGGGTGAAGCTGGGACGAATATGAAGCGCGATCACACACCGAACAATTCTACCAGACCTTCCCAGAATTCCTTTTTCACAATATATATGGTGAGGAAGGGATACAAAAAGCAATTTCTGTTTTCTATTTGATTTGCGTCATAATACAAAATGTTTGTCATCGATTGCTGGAAAAATAAATGTGTATAAATTTATAAAGTAAATATTTTGAGATACTGATAGTACATCATGTTTCCCGCTCATGTTGGTTTCTTCTGCCCTGCAGGTTCTGTAAAGTCTACCATGTGACGTTAAGATTATTTTCTTCCACAAAATCTTATCGCAAGAACATTAATGCTAAAGTTGAAATTAAAAGCAAACACGGAAACATGATGCTTATTGCCGAAAACATGCGATGTGCATTATACCTGGCTTAAACACGCATAGAAAAAAGGTGATTTACGAAAAACAGCCTCAATTATCACATTAATTTTTGTCTAACAATGTGTATGTTTAAATGAAATAGTTTGTATTTACCTAATGTATCTGAGAAATGTATTTTTATTTATTTTTCTAGATTTTACAATAAATTTAAAAATAACATATTACTGGCACCCGGTATGTTTTCGTTCCCTTTAGCCATGTACAGCTACTGTGTGGTAATCCCGCCCTACCTTGGTAATGCTAGGGGAAACAAGAACCACAGCCCTAGCCCAACGACTGACCTTCTCCAAGATGCAAGGCACAACACTCAACAATATCCAAGTAACTGTGGAAACACTCCATGCACATAAAAGGACCCAGTCTTTGGAACTCACTCCCTGACGAATTAAAAGATTGCCCAACCTATGCCCTATTCAAAAGTAAAACCAAGACGTACCTAATTGCCTCCTCATAGTTTCCTACTTGTGCTTCAAACTCACACTGTATCTTGTGCTACCCATTTGCCTAATATTAGTACTTAATACTTAAGACATATATTTTTACCAGTGTAATCACCTCTGTCAATTTATATTATAGTTATTTGTTGATATAAAACCTTGCTCGAATGTACCTTTTCATCTTACCTGCTATGTTAGATTAAGGACCTTCCCGAAACGCTATGCGTGTTAGTGGCTTACTAGAATGTACTAATACCCATCTTTTGTAATCTCACAAACCCATTGTACCTTCTTGTGAATAAATTAATATTATCATTACTATTATTAAATAGTTACTGCTAGGTGAACAGAGGCCTCAGATGTAGGAAACGTTCCTTGTCAGGGGAATCGAATTCTGTTCCAAATGGTTGTAAACTGACTATGCTGTCCTCATAATCTGTCTCCTCGTCCACGTATTCCCGTTCTTAGTCTGTCCTCACATCCAAGCTCTTATTCTGTCCTCAAACTTCACATTCCGTAAATATAGCTCAGTTAAAGACTGTCCTTATATCTCAATTCTTAGTTTGTATTTCGGTCCTTCTCGGCCCCTGTTTTTACTTTGTGGCTCTTCTCCTCTTCTCGGTTCATGTGAAATCGATCGACGTGTTTTCTTGAAGCTCCTCCAGTTCTATTGCGACGGCTTTATTCTTGGCCAGCCATTATACGTGGCCCGTCCACATGGCATGCGTTGACTTTGTGCCGGTTTAAGTATGCCATGCTTAACTGTTTTCTTTGACACGGTTTTACAGTTTTCTTTGGTACAGGTTCTCTAGCTTGCCCATTGTTGCTAAACCTATCCGTAACTTTGGGAACGCGAGATCTTGTTCCTTATTTTAATTATTCCAAGCCTACAAGCCTTGCGTTATAATTTAACTATTTAAATTTGCTATTGAATCTGTGGTTAAAGTTGTGGGTGGAGATGGCTCCAACAATTTCTATTCTTAGTACATTCCACTTGCTGACCATCCGTACATCAGGATATGAGTATTTTCTTACTTTTCTTTGACTCATTTGCATTCCAATTTCTACTTGTGATTTCGTTTTACTTTCTCACAATTTGAAGCGGCTGCCCTTGTCCATCTAGTCTACTCCCCTCAGTATCTTGTATGTTGTGATCATATCCCTTCTTTCTTCTGTCTTCAAGGATTCTGAGGTTTAGTTCCCTTAAAATATCCTCATATCTTAACCCTTTTAGCTCTAGCCCTAATCTTATTACAAAAGTAAAACCTTTGTACTTTTTTATTTATTTATTTTTATTCTTCACAAGGTGCCGATTTAATACCGGTGCTGCGTATTCCAGGTTGGTTTAACAAATGTTGTGTAGACTGCCTTAACAAAAAAAAAAAAAAAAAGAGTCCTGATTAAGGTTTCTAAACGTTGTTTTAATGTTTGCCAGCGTCTCATGTGTTGCCGATGTTAACCTGTTTGTGTGCCACAGGAAAGTGTTGAAATTATATCCACTCCCAAATTCTTTCTTCTATGGTATAGATGCCTCCTGGTCTCATTTTCCTTTTCCTATCGTCATTACCTTATATGCTTGAGGAATTAATTCTATCAATCATTTGTTTGCCCACTCCTGGAGTTTGTTTCCCCTTCTGGAAACTATCTATAATCATCCAGGAGCCGGTCGGCCGAGCGGACAGCACACTGGACTTGTGATCCTGTGGTCCTGGGTTCGATCCCAGGCGCCGGCGAGAAACAATGGGCAGAGTTTCTTTCACCCTATGCCCCTGTTACCTAGCAGTAAAATAGGTACCTGGGTGTTAGTCAGCTGTCACGGGCTGCTTCCTGGGGGTGGAGGCCTGGTCGAGGACCGGGCCGCGGGGACACTAAAAGCCCCGAAATCATCTCAAGATAACCTCAAGAAGATCCACTTTTTGCATTACTCATTAGCTTTGCGTCAGCTGTAAACAGTGGCACGCAAGTGGTCACTCCCTCGGGTAGGCCAGTCACATATATTTGTAACAGTAGTTATACAAGAACTGAGTCTTGAGATCACTCTCCCTATCCCCTTTTGTTGCATTCCTTCAGCTTGAAACCTTGTCTTTGACTGTGACTTTGGTTTCTGTCCTTCAGGTACTCCCGTACCCAGTTCAGTCTTCGTGGATTAGTACTTCTTGCTGAGGTTTAAATTGGTTGATATTTCTCATTTATCTGACGTTTTTTTCTTTTTCGTTTTCTTGGCGTGCGCTTTTGCACAAGTTTACTACTAATACGCAGTCTTATTGCCATCTGTGTTTTAAAATCGGTTCTGTTAATACGAAAAGTTCTCAATATTATCAATAGTTTGACTAGTACTATTGATGGCGCGCGTAAAGTGAGATACAGTTGTTTTTTTGTTTTTTGTTTTTTTTATTATTTTCTACCACAGAAGTGGCCACACATTAACAATGCTAACCAGCATATATACATTTTCTTCTGTCCTCCATGGACAGGGTTAGAGAAATGTTGAACATAGAGTTCAAGGGTTTATTGAACACTCAACCACAGAAGGTGATTCGGTGCTTTTAAAATGCTAAGCTAACCTACATACGTAAATACATAGATACACAGATTTACGTATGCCCTACATAAAGTGTTTGATGTGTCTTTTACATAGTGTCATTAATGTACATTCACAAAGGTGAAATGTAATTCTGATCAGCTTCCATATATACTTTATACCCATACATATACATACACACACACATATACATACATATATACACACACATGCATTCACATACATCTGTCTCATTTACTCTGACAGGGTGAGATAGCTGATAAAGAAACTAGTGTGCAATTAAGCACTTAATCACTGAAGGTGATGAAGGTGCTTTTACAAGCTCAGGTTATATAGTTATATCATATATATACATTGAATAAATGATATATTACATGGTCAATCTTGGATACAAGTCCAATATATCATCAAGTGTTCCAGTACTCATATAGTAATTACAGAGTTCAGCATACCTTAGCCCAGGAGGGCGAAAGTCAGTCAGTATGGGACATTCTACAATATAATGTTCAAGAGAGTGCATGTTTTCTCTTTCACAAAGTTGACACATTGTGTACTCGACATTTGGGTTTTGAGAAAGCTGCCAGATACGTCTATATCCCAGGCGTATTCTGGCCACTATAACATCACATTGCCGGGTTCTTGTTCTATTAGTCCCATATGTGAATGCCTCCTCACGATATCTATCATAATATTTAATGCTACAACTTTCAGGTCTTTGTGAATTTGTTAGGTCGGTGAGATTTTCATTAGATATTTGTTTAAGTATTCTCTTTGTCACTGCTAATGAAGCACCCATATCAATTTCTACCACTGGTTTTCTGCAGGCTGTCTTAGCAAGCATATCAACAGTGTCATGCCTTGAGATGCCAACATGTGATGGTATCCATAGGAATTTAATCTCAAATCTGTTTTCTTTAGCAGCTAAAACATTCATTCGAATATCACTGACTATTTTCTGGGTGTCACTACTATGTGCATTCAGTGCCAGGAGTGCACTCTGCGAGTCACAGTATATAAGTCCACTGCCTTTGTCTTTTAAAAATTCAGTGGCAAGGTATATGCCTGCAAGTTCGGTTTGAGTTGTACTTGCCCAGTCATTGACGCGCTTCATTGCTGTATGTACGAGAGAAGATGGTTCAAATATGTTACATGCACATCCGGTACATAGTCCACCTTCTTCTACAGAGCCGTCGGTATAGCACTGATAAACATCGTTACCCATACTCTGAGTACTTTCAGTGATGCTTTTCAGTGTTAACTGTTTTAATAATGTAGTGTGCACACTATCTTTCTTGGGCGCATTTACAAAATCAACTGATAGATCCCAGTTATCCCATGGAGTAATTGGCTGATTAATCATTAGTTGAGTTGGGTACATATTTAATATTTTGATGGAGTTGGCTACCTTGTAGAACCAATATACATAATCAGATTTCGTTCTTCTTCTATAAACCTCAGGTGAGTGCAGCATATTAGAAAGTTTAGCTTGAAACTTTATGTGCTGTCTAGATCTACTCAATGCCTTCACGCCGAAAACTGTGCTAATAGACAAAATTCTCTCACTTATGGTAGGTAATTTTAACTCTGCTCTCATATTAACTATTCTCGTGGACTTTGGAGCCCCAAGGATGAGACGCATAGCTTCATTTTGCAAGGTTTCAAGAGATTTCAGCTCTTTGTCAGTATACAGTGTGTGAGATGTAGAGCATTGTAGTCAATCACAGAGCGTATAAATGATACATAAAACATTTTAGCAAGTCTCACGTTAAGTCCATGATTGACACCAACAAGGACCCGCAAGGGCTTTAATCTCTCCCAAAGTCTCCTCTTGAGAGAAGAAAGGTACCCAGGGTCGTTAATGGGGACACCAAGGTATCTGCAAAACTCACAGTTCTCAAGTGCTCGCCCATCTATATGATAATTGGGTGGTGGAATACCACATGGAATGAGGGCACGAGTTTTCTGTACAGAGATAAGGAGGCCACATGTGAGATACAGTGTAATGGGGCGCGTAAAGTGAGATACAATGAACCACACTGAAGACGACATTAAGTACCACTATAAGCACTACCTATTACTACATATAAAATATCAAGTAGTCAATTCACAGGTTAAATATGATAAAATATCTACAATCAACCAACAACTTAGGTCACATCTGACCTGTTACATTTCTTACAGGGCATCAATCATGCAACATTCTCAGCTCAAATGTGGGCCAAAGTTAACAAGATCTCCAAGCCTAATACTCTCGCTCATCACTTCCCAGCAGCTTATGCTGACATGTTGCTAGAACAGTATGCAAGCACTGCTATCATATCGAATCTGCCTCAAAATATACAACATCTTGCTAGTACTAATGGTAATAGGAGTCTTAATATTGAAATTGCCTGTAATGAAATGGTCCAGATGATGCTTATGACATTTCTCTATTTGAGCATGAAACTGCACTTAAGAACGGAAGAGCAACTTCTCCTGGTGACGATGGCATAACATACAGCTTCCTGAGGCTTCTTGTCGACATACCTAAGAGTCCACTGCTAGAACTGTACAGACAAAGTCTACGCCAAGGTGTCCTACCAGATCGTTGGACACAGAGCCTCATAATCCCTGTACCTAATCCCAACTCGAACAAATTTAGGCCGATATCTTTAACTTCTTGCAAGTGCAAGGTCCTTGAGAGGATTGTTCTCAGTAGGTTAATGTTGAAAATCAAAAGTCAACTCACTTCTAACTTGCATGGTTTTCTCCATGGGGAGAGGTACACAATCTTGCTTTGCTGAGTACTTCATCAGACAGGAACCAAACACTCACGTAGCCTTTCTTGACCTCCAAGCTGCTTTTGACACAGCTAATAGGGAACTCATCCTAGAGCAACTAGCTTTTTTGGAGTCAGGGAAGATTTGTTGAAATGGATTAGGGGTTAGTTAAATAACAGAACTGCCACAGTCATCTCTAAAGGGGGTTAAAGGTAGTTATCATGCCTACTTTGAATTTGGCACACCTCAGTAAGAAGTCCTCAGTCCTACGCTTTTCAATGTGCTGATGCATAGACTCATAGTTGACGTACCTACTTAAGGCGATGAAGCTGTCATCTGGTATACAAATGACATTTGCGTCATTGCAAACAATGACAGCCGGCTGCAGACTCTCCTTGATACACTTGTTAATGTAGCGAGTAATCCTTATACTCGCTCCATTATCTCATTATCTTAATGGCGTAACTAGTTAGCACTAACTACACAAGCTATAATCCCATCCCTAATTACAGGTAACAGTTCTCACATCCTCCTATCCTAGTAGAGAAAGGTGAGGGGTAGTCACCAAATATAAGGAAGCGATATGAGATTAGACAACACTCGGGAGACATCTCCCGTCACGCAGGGTGCAGTCGCACCTCCACAGATCTCCAGTATCATCTATTGATACTGGAAATGGCTCAAAAGGGCCACCACTTATGGGCTATTCATGCCCAAGCCATCTTTTGGGTGGCTTAATCTTCTCTCTCTCTCTCGATTAGACAACAGTACAATTTCCAGTCAAGAATGTAGCACTCGGCGTAGGCAGTGCTAATCGTCTCCAAGACACTACAGCACTAAAGCGTAATGGTTTGGCGCTTTTCCTTGATATTTCTCCTCCCTTCAGATGGTATGAGGTATCATGGTACCTCATACGTGCTACCATGCCAAATGGTATGAGGGACTTTGAGTTCTGTAATTGCTTCATACACTCAGGAATACTGGAAGATATTCTTGTGCTGTACCCAGGTTTTGCTAATGGAGGCTAATAGATCAGCCTTATATTTCATGTTCTCTCCTGATTCCATGTATGACTAACCATCCTGTAAGATAAATAAATAAATAAATAAATTTAAATGTATAGATTTAATTAACTTAGATAAGTTCATATTAGATGAACTTACAGCTAGTTTTTAATCTACACTGTGTAATCTTGCTACCATATAGGATATTGTAACAGCACACTGCTGTGTGTACCCAAGCTCGTTAAGTAGTTAGTTTAGTTCATTTATTATGCACCCCATACTCATCCTGTAGGCAGTCGTGGGCGATAGTGGAAAGCGTTACAAAGACACATAATGGGCTCAGGGACTGAACCCCACAATTCATTTAGCTACGCAAGTTACAATCTTGATGAGCTAGTTACAAAATTCAATACACATCGTCACATCATCAATGGGTTCGAGATCGACCACAATTACAATTTCTAAATTAAGCAACTGACATATGTGGAGAGCTAGTGTCACAATTGATATGTTTATCCTGCACACCACCCCCATCCAGTGGGTAGCGGTGGATAGGTTACAATCATTCGGTTACTGTAACTACCTACAGTTTGCAAACTGGGGATATTTGGCTAAGATTTCTGGTAACAGATCATTTTGAATTAAATATTTACACATCTCTCAAACATTTGTTATAGAATTGTCTCTGAATTTGCGTATCTTTTCGCACTCCATCACATAGTGACGGAAGGTGTGCGAATAATTTTGTTGACACAGTTTACATTTGGTCAGGTCTACATCAGCAGATAATGAGAATTCCCAGAGATACTTGTAACTAAGTCTAAGCCGAGCAGTAGTAACATCTAGAAGTCTGCTGATTTTATTGGATGAGCCATAGATGTGTGTCTCCTCTTGCATGATAGTATGGTTTTAAATGGAAATACTGGTGTCGATTTCACTTTGCCTCATAGATACAAGATAAAAAAAAAGTGACATGGACAGAGAACATACAGAGAAAACGTAACCCTAGCAACGAAGAGCAGCCGACGCCATCAACACAACATCCAGCTGTCGTCGCCGTGCCTCAAGTCTAACACAGACGTCTTATTTCGTATTAACAACTTGTCCTCTACCCTTCAGACCGAACTATTTGCCTTGCTTCTTGCACTGAAATGTGTACAAGTCTCCAAGCTTGATACATTAATTGTAAGTGACTTTATCATCCTTAATTGCCCTCAACTCTTTATGGGGGCGTTTTTTTTCTGGAAAATTAAGTTGTTCAATGTCAACCAATATTTTTGTACTAGTTGTATATGAAAAGGGCTGCAATTGTTCCAAGTTTCAGTACTGTAGCCTAAATAGTAAGGGAGATTTTTTATTTTTTTTTTTTTTTTCAACGAATTTTACACATTTTCAAGTGTATATTTACAACCACACCTTTCAGATATAATCATTCTATGACACTTTTCTGACACATTAGCATATAATAAAGGATCTGTGGAAGGGGATTTTCCAAAACATCTTTAGTTTTCCTAATACAAATAGTCAAAGTTCCCCCAAAATTATGCAAATATATCATGTTTATTGCTATTTATAAAATCAATAAATGAACTCTGGGGGGGAAAAACGCTTCCAACAGATTTTAGAGACATAAACTTTACATATAAGGTGTAAGTTTCATGTAAATTGAATAAAAAATGAGAGAGATATTTGAACGTTTATGTTACTTGAAAATAAATAAGTAAAAAATAAAGTCTAAGGTGTTGCCATCTGTGACTTGAGGTTGACATCAACCAATGTCCTCCTAAATTGGCACCCTTGCAGATAGGCTTACGTGCAGTCAGGTGTATAAGTTTCATGCAAATCGCCCTATAAACAAAAGAGAGATAAAATTAAAAAAAAAATTGCCTTTTTTTTAACAATTTTTTTTTAATAAAACTAATTATAATTTGTTTTTATATATGCTATTGTGATAGCTGAGAGTCATAGACATGATTTCAGTTGACACTTTTGTTAGATAATTATTTTTGACCATTTTGAAACATTTTTGACACATAATTCAATATTTTTTTCTCCCTTCCTATTTATGCTACGATGCTGAGACTTGGACCAGATGAAACCATTTTCATATACAACTTGTCAAAAAAGTTTGATTGAAATCGAACGAGTTTTCATTTATTGCGTATTTTGGGCAAATTTGGAAATAACGCCCCCTTAAGACATAGCTGTAACATGTTTGTGTCCAAAGCTAGACACAGATACCACTACCTGAGAGAATGTGAACACCTGAGAGTCATTAGAAATATGTGTAGAATAATAAACCCCACATTGTCTGAGTTAGGAAAACACTATTTTTCAAATACCTGTACAGATATTGTTCTAAAAATATTTCCCCATTTTTCACCCGCAAGATAACGTAAGATTTTAAGGGTTGACGAATGTTAATCTTCTTGTTTGATAAGATGTTCACTTGAGACAGTTAAGGAAGTTCCAGCTGTGTCTGGGTACAAGTGACAGTATGAACAATCCAGCGGGTTTTCTTCCTATTGGGGAGTGTTGTACATGCTGCTATGGTGGTATGTCCACTCACAGGATGAGTGGCACTGTCCAGTAAACTCACCCCTTGGAGCAAACTTAAAAAAATTTAAACAAATACAACAAAATTATTAATGATGGTAACAGAGTCCATTTCTTGTGGTCTCCATCTCGTGTTGGCCTCCCAATGCATGATAGAGCTGATCAGTTAGCCAAAGAATCTGTCTTTAAAGGAGAAATTGAGTATAACTTTAGATTGTCAATGAGCAGTCTGAGAGCAATAGTACACCAAGAACTTCAATAAAATCTTGTAGATCTGAGGCAAAGTGAAATCAACACCAGTAATTCCATCTATCATCATACTATCATGCAAGAGGAGCCACACATCTATGGTTCATCCAATAAAATCAGCAGACTTCTAGATGTTACTACGTACTGCTCAGCTTAGGCTTGGTTACAAGTATCTGGGAATTCTCATTATCAACTGATGTAGACCTGACCAAATGTAAACTGTGTCAACACAATTATTCGAACACCATCCATCACTATTTATTTATTTATTTATTTATTTATTTATTTATTTATGCATATACAAGAATGTACATAAGGAATGTGAGGATACAAATATGGTAATTACAGTCTTGTAAAGCCACTAGCACGCGCAGCGTTTCTGGCAGGTCCTTAATCTAAGAAAATTTTAAGGAGGTAAATACTTGCAAAATTTATAGACAAAAAAATGATAACAGATTACATGAAATGAAAAAAAAAAGATGAGAGAAAATTGTAGGTACAGTATATTAAAGCACATAGGTAGCTAAGATTGATTGCAATGACAGCTTGAATGGTAGTTGACAAAAAATAGGTAGGCACAATACAGCAGAAACAATATAAGATTGATTGCAATGACAGCTTGAATGGTAGTTGACAAAAATTGGTAGTCACAATACAGCATATGGCTAGCACATAAAAGAAGACAGCAATGAACACAATGATAAGGTTGTTTGATATTACATAAAAATTAGGAGATTGGGTAACACTAGGTACAGAGCCAATTTAAAGCTCAGTGTAGGAAACTAAGAAGATGAAGTTAGGTACTTTTTGGTTTTGCTTTTAAATAAGGCAAAAGTTTTACAGTTTTTCAATTCACTAGGGAGTAAGTTCCATAGACTAGGTCCCTTAATTTGCATAGAGTGTTTACACAGATTAAGTTTGACCCTGGCGATATCAAAGAGATATTTATTTCTGGTGTGGTGATAATGGGTCCTATTACATCTGTCCAGGGAGAGTTTCAGAGCATGGTTTGCATTTAAGAACAGGGTTTTGTAAATGTAGTTGACACAAGAGAATGTGTGGAGGGAGTTAATATTTAGCAAGTTTAGGGATTTAAACAAGGGAGCTGAGTGTTGTCTGAAAGCAGAGTTAGTTATTATGTGATGGAGTTAGTTACTATGTGATGGAGTGTGAAAAGATATGTGAATTCAGAGACAATTCTATAACCAATGTTCCACCTATGTGTAAATATTTAATTCAAAATTATCTGTTACCAGAAATCTTAGCCAAATATCCCCAGTTTGCAAACTGTAGGTAGTTACAGTAACCGAATGATTGTAACCTATCCACCGCTGCCCACTGGATGGGGGTGGTGTGCAGGACAAACATATAAATTGTGACACTAGCTCTCCACATATGTCAGTTGCTAAATTTAGAAACTGTACTTGTGGTCGATCTCGAACCCATTGATGATGTGACAACAACATACTGGATTTTGTAATTAGCTCATCAAGATTGTAACTTGCTTAGCTAAAGGAATTGTGGGGTTCAGTCCCTGAGCCTATTATGTGCCTCTGTAACCCTTTCCACTACTGCCCACAAGATGGGTATGGGGTGCATAATAAATGAACTAAACTAAACTAAACTCTTATTTTGTTGTCATCATTGCACAAACTGACAACAATGCAACAACAACAACAACATTCAAGCCTTGCAATGTCATCAGCATTGACGCACCCTTGTGAGTGAGGCGTCTGCAAGCATTACCACTCATCCAGTCATCGGCTGGAGGAAACCATGTAAACTGCAAGATCCTGTGGAGAAATAGACAAAGTGGATAAAAGAATCCTATGTGAATTAAAAGGAGGGGACAAGGGAGACATCAGTGGAAGCTAGACACGCAATTGAGTCGTGGAGCTGTAACGCAAGGTAATTATCAGAAGAAAGCACTAAGCCATTACGACTATGTAGCACTTGGAAGGTTTATGAGAATAAGGTCATTCTACTTTCCAGTTCTCCCTCTCAGTGAGTTGTCAAGTAGAGTGTACGAGTCTGTGCAACCTGTCCTCCTACTAGAGCGTCACATTTTGATGTATACTCAACCTAAGTCCAAATATCGTCTTACTAGAAAATGGTAGTGACTCACAAAATTAACATACTGTTCCGTTTTCTGTTTTGGGTCCTCTGGTAGATTACGATAGCGCACTTTAGTACTTTAGTACGACAGTTTCTTGACATTGGGAACCCTTAGGAGGATGGGTTGGTTTGCGATTACTCTCAATTGTCACTTTCACATTTACCTGAAATTACCTGAGAGCCACTCTTTCTAGTGGCCTTGACAAGGATAGGAAGCTGGTGGCTTGTCAAATGTCCCTCCAATTTATCCTGATGATTTTATAATCAGGATAAAATTTCTAGTAAATTTTAATTTAAAATTCCTCATAATTTCTCTAAATCGTTGGTAAATTTCTCGAGTCCAAAGCAAGCTTCCTCTTGACATCTCTTTTCCTAACTTGAAGTTAGTGTTTGTCACTTGAATAAGTGTGCTGGACTTGTGCTATACAGCACTTTAATTTCACAGGTGCCAAGACTCAAACAAGAGCTTGAGGACTTCATTGAAAACTTTATTAAACTTTTATAGCTTTAAGTACAGAACTGTAGTTCTTTTCAAGCAGATTTGTAGTACTTTTCAAAGAGGGAAGAAAGCAGTACCTACTAATGTAATAAATGGGGAAAGACTAGCAGGGCTGTGTATTGCCCACATGTGCGTAACACCTGGGCACTTAGTGAAATAATTTGCTCCTTATCGTCTGTACTGTTTTGTCCCATTTGCTTGTATACTGTGTAAAATGTCATGATTTTTCAGGATTGATGGTCTTCCTTTCAAAGTGTCCCTTTGTCACTTGTCCCTCGATAGAATCCTTGGAGTGTTTTATGCTTTTGACATGCTTCGCTCTTGTATTGGAAGTAATATTTAGACTCTTTCTAATATTCTGCAACAGCTGGGTGCCTGTCTTTAATTACATGTCAATAATTTTATCAAAAGGCAAGAATTGAGTGAAGACAGATGAACGTTGTGAAATAATGAAGTACAGTACTAAGAATGATTGATAAATTTTAATACTATACCTGATGTGCGATAAGAGGATGCACTGTACTGGTGCATTGAAAGACTTGGGTAGAAAAGATACATGTATCCCAAGGGCTACATGGAATTAATGCCAATATACACACGGCTGAGAGATGATCAGTATGACCTTTTTAATACCAAGAAATTAAAGTGATGTACTGAGAAATTTATCTCTTGGGATTTGGTATAAAGATCCCTGTTTAGGTTTTTTCACCCTTGTCCAGAGGGTGAAGATGTTGAAGAAGCAAACCTCCAATTAGATGTTAATAAAATCTTTCAATGGGCCACAGAAAATATGATATTTTACGATGAGTTTCAGTTACTGCGCTATGGAAAGAAACGGGAATATCAAAACAGAAACCAGATATAAAATGCAATCAAACCACATTATTGAAAGAAAAAGCATTACGGTACTGTATATGTACTGCTAATAAATAGGAGTAATCATGTCAAAAGACCTTACTTTTTTTAAAGAATGCAAAAAAGTAGCTGTCATAACTGCAAGAAACGCTTTGCGTAATAGTGGCTTTAGACATTGTATGCACTAGCTCTATCTATAAATTCATCAATATTTGTATCACCCCTTATATGTAGGTACTTTACCTGAATAAACATTTGAATTTGAAAATTGACAGATTGGATAGCAAGAACCTTTCACACAAGAAATGTCATACCAATGATGATACAGTACTTTTTAAGACACTTGCATTATCTTGAGTGGAATATTGTCACATGCTAACAATCCCATTCAAAACTGGAGAAATTAGCTGACCTGGAGAGTGTACAAAGATCTTGTACTTCTAGAATCCACTCAATAAAATATCTAAATTATCGGGACTGGTTAAAAATTTTAAATGTGTATTCCTTAGAATGTAGCTGGGAGAGATGCATAATAATTTAAATCTGCACACAGAAATAACACCACATGAGCAGACAATGAGTTACAATAATGTGGCTGAATATATGAAGACCCACACACAACACACCAGATGAGGAAAGGATGACATTTTGGTCCATCCTGGACCATTATCAAGTCGATTGGACCACTATTACAATCGACTTGATAAGGGTCCAGGACAGATCGAAACGTCGTCTCCTCCTCATCTTCTGGTGTGTGGTTTAGTCTTCATAACACCACATGAGACTAGAAGACATGACAGGATGTACAAAATAGTCCCATTGAAACGCAAAGGTACAACAGGCACATTGATTAGAGAACTCGAACATCAAAGGCTCAAGACTTTTTAATACTCTCCCTCTACACATACAACTGGCTGTTCCCTCTCAGTGTTCAAAAGAGAACTTGACAAACATCTTCAGAGTATATCTGATCAACCAGGCTGTGACTCGTACATCAAACCCCAAGCAGCTGCATTGAACAGCCTGGTTGACTAGGCCACCTATCAGCAATGACTAGACTGGTCAGAGAGCAGAGACCCTGCAGCCTGGTCAGAGACCAGGCTGCAGTGATGTTGATCCTTGGAATTGTCATAAGGTATTCAGGGGGGCAAGATTTGTCAAGCATTTACACAACCACTTGTGCAATCTGTATGTTTTTCCTAAAAGATGTAAAATTTGTGTGAATGCTTGACAAATCCTGTCCCCTTGGCAGAGGAAGGCATGCTGCAGAAGTAATACAGTAGTTTTGGTGGGAACCCAGCAAAAGGTTTAAGTAGGTTAATTTATGTCTTAGGTTTATGAAGGCTCTAGTTAAATAAATTTGGAATGCTGTGATATGAAGTAAAAAAAAAAGTAGAATTGAAAGTTCAATAACTGAAAGTTTTAGAACAGCATAGATAGTTTGAGCATTGGTTAAAGAATGGTGCAGAAAATATCAAATTTCCAATTGATTTGTTCAAAAATTTGGCTGTAATTTTAACCTTTATATTTTCCTGTTTGACCTCTGCTATCTTAGTTTACTTTTGTCTGCTTTACAAAATGTGTACACTTATTTCGGTATGGTAATTTGTCAATACAAACATCTCATATAAACAAATGAATTTTTTTCACATGCAGCCTCTACAACCTCTACAAGTCACCCAAGAAGGAAAACACTTATTAGACTACATTTAAAGCTCTGGTGTGGACAGCCTTGCTGTATATGAGACTCCTTGCTTCAACCACCACCTTTTGCTACTAGAAGCTAAAACAGATGAATTATTTGTGAACCTGAATTATGAGATACGAAGGTAAGGTAATCATTGGGTGAAAGCACTAAGCCAGTTATTAGACAAGGGTATGCTACCTAGAACTCCTGGTCATGTAGCACAGTACACTGGGGGGTTAATGGTGTTTGACACTCGTGAACCATCATTTTCAGTAAAATATTGGATAAACGAGTATAGATCAAATTTGTATACATATGACATAATGTTAATGTTTCCTGTTAACGATAAGAGTGCCTGCTGATGCTTAACAGTGCAAATAATTAAATTATATGTATAACCTGTCACTAGTGATACATAGTGATACTACTAGTGAGGTGGGTGGGGTAAGAGGGAATCCATAGATTAAGTAAATGCCAAATGCTTTTGTTGAGCATAACTTCATACTGTACATTACAGTTTCTGTATGTTATTGGTGGAATAAAATATCGGTTAAAGAAATTTAAACTTCTAATTACCATCCATTACTTAATGTGATTTACTTCATAAAAATAGTGTAAGTTTTGCTTAATGCCCTCCAATGTTTCTAAATTAGTATTTGATGCCTAAGAATATTCGAGCGACTAATATGTAACTTATTAATGATGGAGCTTTCCAGCCTTTCACTCAACTGGGTTATCGGTATGCATTTTCTACCCTTAATTGGGTTAATGAAATTCTTTCTGCCTTAGTTATAGGGAGAAGGTGGATCAAAGAATATATAGAAAGGATTTTTTTTACCTCGCCCTCACCACTAGTGAACTTTGTAAGCTTTATATGGCATATATCGGCTGAGTAAATTTGCCTGTGCTACGATATACAGTACTGTACTGTACTCCAATACAGCCCTCTACAACCAAATTTACTTAGAAGACTATCATTGATTGGATCTTTGACATCTACAGCCCACGACCCCACTGTTTCCCAAGTAGGCTGGAGGGGTGGGGGTAGGGGGTGAGAGTTTGTTTTGTTTAGAGCTGTTGATTCATGTTGTGGACTTCTGAGTTTGGCTTCAGATCTATACCTTCTGTATACCTTCTGTGTATTTATTTATTTGTTTTTTCTAGGCTTGAAAGGTCAAACAGGTCCAATTTAGCGGCCATTTAGTGAGTGAGCCATTTACCGGCTTGAGTAAAGCTGCCAGCAGTGTTGTGGCCTTTGACAAAATGCATAGCCCTCTGTAACACCTTTCTTCTCCCACATTTTACCACCTTCCCCACCATTGTGTCCCTTTCTAGGCAGCTATCCCAGTTTCCAGTTTTTGTGCAGTTTTGTATCAATTTCTAGAGTCCCTGTTTTTGTTACTTAAGCATAAAGGAACATGGCACTAACCTGCCTGTCTTGTGGCAAGCAAAACTTGATTTTGTGGGTCAAGAGGCATTTTCTGTGACATCTAAGAACCAAAATGGATAGCCTAGGCCAACATTGGATGTTTCTGGTTACCTTATGGTTGCCTTGCGATGATTCCGGGGCTTAGCGTCCCTGCGGCCCAGTCCTCAACCAGGCCTGCTCATTGCTGGACTGGTCAACCAGGCTGTTGGATGCGGCTGCTCGTAGCCTGACTTACGAATCACAGCCTGGTTGATAAGGTATCCTTTCAAGGTGTTTATCAAGTTCTCTCTTGAACACTGTGAAGGGTCAGCCAGTTATGTCCCTTATGTGTAGTGAAAATGTGTTGAACAGTCTTGGCCTCTGATGTTGTTAGAGTTCTCTCTCTCAAGAGTACCTATTGCACCTCTGCTTTTCAACAGGGTCTGCACATCTTGCCATGCCTCCTGGTCTCATGTTGTGTTATTTCTGTGTGAAGGTTTGGGACCAACCCCTCTAGTATTTTCCATGTGTAAATTACTTGTATCTCTCTTGCCTGTGCTCAAGAGAATACAGATTTAGGCCTTTTAGTCATTCCCAGTAGTTTAGAAGTTTTACTGAGTGTATTCTAGCAGTAAAAGATTTCTGCATGCTCTCCAGGTCAACAATTTCTTCAGCTTTGAAAGGGGCTGTCGAGAGGGCAACATTATTCCACTCTAGAGAGCACTAGCATCTTGAAGAGCATCATCATTGGTATAGCATCTCTAGTATGAAAAGTTCTTGTACTATAGATAGTGTCCTTGTCTATGTCCGATATGAGGATGAGAAAAAGTACCGGAGCAAGCACAGTACCCTAGGGGACTAAGCTCTTCACGGCTCATAGTCAGGATTTTATTTTGTTGATTATTACACATGGGATTCTGTAATCTACAGGAAATTGTAGATCCATCTGCCTATTTTTTCCGGCAATTCTTTTTGAACGCATTTTGTGTGCAATAATACCATGGTCACATTTGTTGAAGGCTTTTGCAAAATCTGTGTAAATTACATCAGCATTTGCTTGTCCATGCATCTAAGGCCATGTCATAGTGGTCCAGCAACTGTGATAGGCAAGAGCACCCTGTTTTGAAACCATGTTGTCCAGGGTTATGGAGATGCTGTGATTCCATGTATTTTGTGATTTTACTTCTTAGCACTCTTTCAAAGATTTTTATGATGTGTGATGTTAGTGCTATTTGTCTGTAATTTTTTGCCTTATTTCCTCCTTTATGGAGTGGTGCTATCTCTGCTGTTTCTAGTATGTCAGGGATAATGCCAGTACAGGTTCTAGTATCTAGGCTTTGTCTCCAAAGAATGTAAAGGGCCTACGACAGTGTTTTTTTATAGTTCTTGGTGAATATGGAGTTCCAAGAGTCAGGGCCTGGTGCATACTGTCATGGCTTCTTCAAAATCCAGTGGGGATAGGGTGACATCTGATATATGATTTAATGTTGGCATTACATCCATAAAAAAATCATTTGGGTTATCAATCTTTAGTGTGTTTAGTGGCTTGCTGAAAACAGTCGTACTGTTTCCTCAGTATTTCGCTCATTTCTTTGTTATCATCTGTGAAAGTTCCATCCCCTTTTGCAGGGGCCCGATACTATATGTAGTTTTTGATCTTGCATAGGAGAAAAAATATTTTGGATTTCTCTATTTCACTGATGGCTTTTTGTTCTCTCTCTGTCTCTCTTGGATTTTGTATGATTCTTGTACCTTTAGTTCAATCATTTATATCTATCTACCTAGGCTTCTTTGTCATTCTTGAGTTAAGGTGTGAATCTCAAGTTGTCGTGATTCATTTTCTTTGCCAATCGAGGGAACGCTGTTCCCGTTCCAGGCTGCATTTCTTTTCTCTCCTTTCCTAGGTTTGAGCATACTGTATCTCTAGAGCTACTGAGTTTATTTTTTCCAGGCACTGGTTCAGGTTTGCATTTTCAAGCTGTTCTTCCAAGCATATTTTTGTGAGGTCTTGGTTTATTTGCTCCCAGTTAATCTGTTTGTTATTAAAATTTAATTAGTTGAATTCTCCTACCCTGGGATTTGGAATTGATTGTGCAAGTCTACTTCTCATTCTTGTCAGAACTTCAATTGGGTAGCAGGTATTTGTAATCATTATGTTCCTGATCAATTCATCATTATTAGTGAAAATGAGGTCCAGTGTGTTCTCTTTTCTAGTTGGTTTGCTATTTTGCTATTGGTATACTTATTGTTATTGGTTCTAGTTTCTATTTGCTGGTTTAAGGCAAATTTGTCGCACATCCTTAGGTCATTTGCATGTGCCTGTTCATTTAGATTACTTCCCGGTATTCTTCCTGATATAACTGTATTGGCTAGGTGCTTCCATTTCAGGTGGTGTAGATTGAAGTCCCCAAGCAGGATGATGTTTGGGGCTGGATTTGTGAGGTTTTCCAAGCAGTGTTCTATTTTCATTAGTTGGTTTTTAAACTGCTGAGGATTTGCCTCCGGTGACTTATATACAAGGACAATAACTACATTTAGGATCTCTATTTTGATTATCACCACTTCCACCATATTCTTTGTGGTGTTTAGCAGCTCAGTACAGATGAGTGTGTCCTTGATGTACAGGCTGATCCCACCCTGTAGTCTGTGTTTCCTGTCACATCTGAAAAGATTGTACTCTGAGATCCATATTTCATCATCATGGTAGTCTTGTGTGGGTTTCCATTAGGGCTGCAAACACTGTATTTGCCTCTTAATTGGCTCATCTCTTAATTGGCTAAAAAGTTTAAATCTGTCTTCTGTGCCCTGCTATAGCATTGTGTCAGAATGGTAGTAATGCAGTAAGAGGTAACTGAGCTGAGTTTGCTATTTTGGGAGGGCCCAGTCTGCAGGGATCTGGTTCTTCTTGACCTAATTTGCCCATGAAAAGCCTTGTTATGTTTCAGAGAGAGATTTTGCTAACTACAGGTCATCTGATATGTACTATAAACAGGTTGCTTCCTTCAAGACCAAGCAGAAGGAAGAGTGATAATTATTAATTAATTATAGTATTATTATAATACAGTAATTATTATAATAATAATTGTTGTATTTAATAATTATCACTCTTCCTTCTGCTTGGTCTTGAAGGAAGCCGACCTTGGGTGAAAGAGGGCTGTGACTATCTCTGCCTGGAACCCGTAGGTGCGGGACCGGGACGTCCACCTCCCGGGGGGTCGTGCGGCCTAGGCTCTGCTTCAGGAGGCTGGGGTCGTTCATAACCTTGATGGGGTGATTCTTCTCCGGCCACAACCACAGAGGTCTCCGGGTTTGGAGTCCCTGTGCTTCTCTAGGATCTCAAAGATTTTGGAAGGTCTTTGATTCTTCCTGTATTATTGGAACATCTGTCATCTTCCAGTGAGGCTTACCTCTGATCCTTTCTAGGACTCGTGGGTCCTCTTCCGTGCTTCTTCTTGGTTTTCAGTACTGTTTTGTTCTTTTGTAATTATATCTTCTCTCTGTGCTCTGTCTTGGCACTAATAATATTCCTTAAATACTCCTTGTTGGCGCCCTCCCCACCAGGCGGGTTTTGTGGTTCGGACCTCATGCATCCTGCCTATGCCCTGTGGGAGTTTGTTTTGTTATGGACGGTGTACACAAGTGTGGTGTTCCACGTCCTTTTTCTCACGGGTGCTTTGCCTCTCGCTGCTCTTATCTCTCCTGTCTGGACTCCGTAGATACTGGGGGTGTTCTGGATTACCAATATGAGGAAGACGCCTAGTTTTTCTCTGCATATGGATGTGGGGCGCCACATTCGCCTCTACCCTTCTCTTCTACATGTGCGGCTCTGGCCTAATTCCGCTAGCGGTGCTCCCGGAATATTCTCTCGGCTATGATGTGTCGTGACATGCTAGTGCCTACGCTCTGCAAGTGAGTTTATGCCATCGGGCCTCTCTTTCGGCCAGGCGCTGGTTCGTGGTTTTTGGATGAATGTTGGGGATTGGTTGTGGCGTTTTGTTTGGCCCATTGCGTGCTTCTTCCTATGGCCTTCCTTGTTTGTCTGTGTTATTTGTTACATGGTGGGGCACGGCCCTGTCTTTTGTAATCTTATCTTGAACACTCATTCCTTGACCGTTGTGCAGTGCCTGACTGAGCCCTTCCATATGCATTGG